AATTGATCTGGTATTCTATGTGGGACTCCAATTGCGTCTAAATAAACATGAGAGTTGAAAGACCCATAAGGGGCTTCTCTCACTTTATGATGTCTAATTATTTTTTTCCTTCTGGTTGATGATATGCCAGGGTGAAAGGGATAGTCAATTGGACTAAAGCACAAGTGCCACTCCAGCTATTCAGCAGAGTGCCCAGTAAAGGTCCACCACAATACCACCGCACATCTGCTCAGGGTTGAACAGGGGCTGACTGATTGATAAGCTCTTGAAAATTCTTAAGCTCACTGCATCCTTTCAGGTCTCCAAGGAATGCTAAGTTTCCTCCTTGCTGTGAGAGACATGAAGTGAACTTAGTGTTGGGAGATGGAAGCTGGATGGCCCTCGGGGGCTGACCCGCAGGGACTTTGGGATGTAGCAGAGAGAGCTTGGCATGACTTATTACTCCAGGCAGTAGAATTCTGGAAAAGAGCTACCATGCAGCCTACGCCTGATCGACTGAAGGACCACCTTAGTGGAAGGGGGATAATCTGGGCCTCTGGCCTGCCATGTGTACAAGCATAACAATTGCTTTTGTTTAATGTGCAGATGGAATATTTGATCCATTTTAACCAGGCATTTGCATCTTGGTATCCTGTCTTAATTGCTAAAATTTGTTTTAAGTCTTTAACTTCTATGATCCTCTAGTAAAATGAATGTATGGTTTTAGGGAAATTACAAAAACCAGTTAGGGCAGTCCATCCGTGCTCTTTAGTGGTCCACAGAACATTGGACCAACTATGGTATGAAAGCTCTACATCGGGGGGCAACACTCCTGGTGGGCACTGGGGTCTTTATCGAAATCTCCCTGGATTAAATGGTCCCAGTTTACTAATGCCCAGTCTGAGGAGAGTCAGGAGGGACAGAAGTACTTTTCTGAAGTAGAAAGCTGTCTTTGACTTGGCAAGTCCTCACAGGGTATAACAAAGCAAGCATTAAATGCAATAGTTTGAGGCGAAATTGACTTGGTTATATTAATAACTAGATGGTCAGCAATAGAACAAGGAAAGAAGAAAGAGTAATAGAACAGATTAAAAGAGTTAAATTTTTTCTTAGCTTAGGTTGGTAGGGTTTTCCCTTGGGACTATGGCCCACGACTCTGGAGGGGGTGGCGCTTCTGGTTGCATTAATAACTAGATGGTCAGCAATAGAACAAGGAAAGAAGAAAGAGTAATAGAATAGATTAAAAGAGTTAAATTTTTCTTAGCTTTAGTTTGGTAGGGTTTTCCCTTGGGACTATGACCTATGACTCTGGAGGGGGTGGCAATTTCTTGACACAGGTGTGATCAGTCCATCCCTTTTTTGCTGTGTGAACAGCAGTCTTGGTGATTAGCAGCACAAGGTAAGGTCCTTCCCAGGCTGGCTCAAGTTTTTCTTCTTTCCACCTTTCGATGAGAACGTGATCTTCAGGCTGGTGCTGGTTTACTGGAAATTCTTGGCATGGTACATGTGCTAAAGAGTTTTTTGTTGTTGTTGTTTTTTTTTTTGTTTTGTTTTTTTTGGTGCAAGAAAGGAAAGTGGAATAAAAACCAAGTATATAATTTTTAGAAATTGACCTTTTGTTTTAAATGTGGGGACCTAGGCAGTGAACTTTATAGTCGTTAGTGCCTTTTTACTGAGAAATTTCCTTTAGCACCTGTTTTTATTAGTTTTTAAACCAAAGAAAGCCAAGTACCCTTTTACATTTAACAATGCTTCTCGTATGATTTTTATACCAGATAAGCTAAATATTATCTTTATATTAGTGTTATTAATGTTAATCCTAATTTTAACAAAACCTGGTAGACGTATTTACTTAATTTTTAATGTTTGACCATAAGGTAAGATTTTATAGACTCATTTTAACCTTTTATAATTTTTGCTAAAGAGCAGGTTGGTGCTTTAAGAAAAACCTGTTATGCTTTTACTTTAATGTCCAGTTCACAGAAAAACTGGATGATACTTCTTTAACTTTAGCTAATATGTTTACACACAGAATGTCCTTTACAATTAACATTTTAAAACTTGCTTAAACCTTCAAAACAATACTTTTTTTAAACTTTTTAATGATGGTAAAAATGTACATTCTTATGCCTCCTTATAATCCTTTTACCAAAGGTATATTTTGCTTTTCTTATACTCCTTGCACATAAACTGTTTTTTTTTCCTCAATATTTTTACATTCAGGAGGCCTAGTTACTTTTAAATGATACAACATTTTTTATATAAATTCTTTTTTTAACACACTTTTTTTATAACCTTTTTTTTTCTCTCACGATTTGTACAGGCAATTTTTTGACATGCCTTAACTTTCTGACTTATTACAAACATTTCTTTCTTTAAACAACCAGTTAATTTATTTCAGGACAAGAATTTACCATGCAACACTCTTTCTATATAAACTCTGCACCCCCCCTTTTCCCCTTTTTTTTTTCGAAGATGATAATCTTTTTTTTTCCAAAGCGAAACTTTTTTTGTGTGTGTCTGTGGACTAGACTATCTAAAGGCCACAAGAATAGAATTACTATAATGCATGTTACACTGCTAACTTTTAGCAAACTTTACTTTTGTTGAAAACCTTGTAAGTTTGGGATTTTAATTATCCTTTGCTATTCATAAGACCTTGTTTTGTCCAATTTAGAATTGGTATGATGGCTTTTAAAGGAATAGGGTACTTTTTTTTTTCTTAACTACTTGTATCTCTCTCTTTCTTTCTTTCTTTCTCTCTTTCTTTCTTTCTTTCTTTCTTTCTTTCTTTCTTTCTTTCTTTCTTTTCTTTCTCTCTCTCTCTCTTTCTTTCTTTCTGTCTCTCTCCCTCTCTGAATTGTCTCTCTCTCTTTGACTTTCCTTTTGCCTCTGTCTCTTCCTCTCTCTCTCTGCCTCTGTCTTTCCCTCTCTCTCTCTCCTTGACTCCCTCTTTGTCTGTTTCTTCCTCTCTGTCTCTTCGTCTCTCTCTGTTTGCCTCTTTTCCTCTCCGTCTCTTTCCTTTCTCTCTCTGCTGGTCTTTCCTTGCCTCTGCCAGCCAGTTATGCTGCTGATTTCTCAACCACCGTGTGTTAGGGGCAGAGGATCTAAAACAAGCTGGTCTGGGTTCCCTGGTTTACAGGTTACCTTGTGCCATACCTTTGAAACAAGGGACCTGTCCAGACTTCCTTCTAATGGCCAACCTACCTCTAATGCTGGCCAGTCTATCTTACACAAAGTTTTAAGTTTTCCTGGTGTCATAGTACTCCATAGTCTCCCTTAAATCCTTTTCTTGAAAATTTTCAACATAGTTCCTAGTGGGGTGGGCTTACTTTGTGCCTCACCAATGTTTCCTCTAGACAAAACACCACGCTCACACCACACGCACACCACAAAACAAAGAATGGGTAAAAAGGGCACACACACACTTTTGTAGTTTACACCAAACCAAAATCAAAACCAAAATCAGAGTATCAAGAAATCCAAGCCAGGTCAAAACCAAAACCAGAGTATCAAGCAATCCAAGTCAAGTCAAAAACAAAAATCAAAGTGCCAGTACAGGCACATCATGGGTGATCAGGCCACGCTTCCACTCAAATGGAATGGGCAAGTTCCCAAGCCCAATCCTGTCAAGCAATTCAAACCAAGTCAAAACCAAAACCAAAGTGCCAATAAAGGCACGCTGTGGGTGATCAGGCCACGCTTCCACTCAAATGGAGTGGGAAAGTTTCAAAGACCAGTCTTACCAAGTTTTAGATGTCCAGACTCCAAATGCCTGTTCCTTCCCGGTGTTCAGCCACTGCGTTGATCCTCCACGTGGGCCTGCCACACACTGCTCTAGCGAAGCGTCCCACTGGGGCAAATGCCTACCGGGGAGCACTCTCAGGAGCCGCATCACTCGGGCTGGTCGGAGTCCCCCGCAGGGATGTTCCACAGGGCAGGCTTGAGCTGCCTCGACCATCGGCCATTCACCTCGCTTCCCAGTCAGGGAACCAAGAAATGTAGCAGGACAAGCCACAGACAAAACTCCTCGGACACTGAGTTAAAGAAGGAAGGGGTTTATTCGGCCGGGGGCATCAGCAAGACTTCTGTCTCAAGAGCCGAGCTCCTCGGATGAGCAGTTCCTGTCCCTTTTAAGAGCTCACAACTCTAAGGGGGTGCATGTGAGAGGGTTGTGATTGATTGAGCAAACAGGGGATACGTGACTGGGGGCTGCATGCACTGGTAATTAGATCGGAACAAAGCAGGATAGGGATTTTCACAGTGCATTTCTATGCAATGCCTGTAATCTATAGATAACATAACCAATTAGGTCAGGGGTCAATCTTTAACTACCAGGCCCAGGATGTGGCACCGGGCTGTCTGCCTGTGGATTTCATTTCTGCCTTTAGGTTTTGCTTCTTTCTTTGGAGGCAGAAATTGGGCACAAGATGGTATGAGGGGTGATCTCCTCCCTTATCCTCATGTAAGTTTTTTTTTTGTTTTAACAATTGCTGTATGGTGTTGTGAAACCATACAGTCTTTGCAATACAAAGACTTTGGCCCCAGGATCTTATAATCACATTAGCACTTCTTCAGAAGTTGAACTATGTATCTTGAAGTTGACATTTATGCCTTGTTCTTTAAGACTGAAGTTCACATGCTGCACCACTGACAATTTCTGACAGTTTCTTGTACTGTGAAATGTTCTATTCTATACACGCATGAAAAGTGAAGTGTATCACTTTACCATCTGGACCATGTCTGTTAGAATTTAACAGGAAAAAAGCACCATTACCTAGAGGCTGGTAAGAGTCATGATCTTTTGCCCCATAGAAAGTGGATGTTGCGGATCACAGAGAAGGTGAATGAGTAGCAGTGCTCTCTTGTGCTTCATGGGGTCAGTGATAACCGAGTTCATTAACGAGTGACAGGCTTAATGACTAACATACCTCTAACATTCTCCTCTAGCTCAGATGAAAGAGAGAATGGGACTTCTTGGTACTGACTGTTTTTCCTGTGCCTCAATTGGTTTCTTTTAGGGAGCTACACATTTACTTGCCCACTGATGATTGATGTTTTCAGCCAGCACGATGGACAGAAGTCTAAGGAACGTCCTTGTTGTTTCCTTTGGGTTCCTGCTTCTCTTTACAGCCTATGGAGGTCTGCAGAGCCTGCAGGTATGTGTCCAGTCAAGTTACCTGAACTTCTTGACCTCCAATCCCCGTAGTCACAGACAATAATGAATTGAAAATTTGAAAAATCTAATTCAGCTGGTGTTTCTTTTTCACACCACACCAAATCTTCTAAAACAAACAGTGGTTCTCAGATGCAGTCTTACAGCGAGCAGTTCCCACTCACGTCTCAATAGGATTGGACAACAATGAGGTGTGCGTTGCTCTTGGAGAGCTCTGGACAGCAGGGGTCTTGGGATCGTGGTTTGTTGGGACATTCTTTGCCTTTGGGTGGTTAAAAGGAGACACAGGAAAAGTCATTGTGAATATGATTGCATGCCGTTGGCTTTGTGGTTAGGGGCAGCCAAGTGAATTTATCAAATATCATTAGACCTTATAGATTCCAAGTTTACTCTAAGCAAAACTGTGAACTTTGACAACATGGTCTCTCTATACTTTGAGCTCTTTACGTCATGCTCTCCGGGACAGCTGTCTCTGCTAGTCAGGACTGACGTGAGCAACACAGAGTGTTCAGATAGAAGAGACTCAGGAATGACTGTGCCCCAGCATGCCCAGGACCTGAGCCCACCTCTCTCCAAGAACCCCAAGGCTTCCACGCGGTTGGCTTCGCTCTCAGGCCCCAACAAGGCACATGTATCCCCAGGTTCCCTCCTCAGAGCTCAGCAGCCCCAGTGAGAAGACAGGGCCTCATTCCAGAGAGTTCTCATGAGTTCTCACCCTGGTCTGGACTAGATCCCCTCATCCAAGGACCAAGGACGCTCTTTTGTGGCACCTCCCCTGCAGCTGCCACCTCCTCTCACCCTTTCTGGCTGCAAGCCTCCAAGTTCTCATTCAGCTCTCATCTTGGAAGTCACCTCCTTCTCCCCACCCTGCCCTGGAGCCGAGGTCGGCGGGGGGGGCACCCAGCACCCTCATGGCAGCGTGTGCCTGCCCATGTCATCTCCACCAGTGGCAGCAGCCTGCAGTTTCGAGGACACAAGGGCCACGTCTCTGGTCCATCCTCGAACCTCAGGCAGTGACAGGCACTCAGAGGTGGGCGATGGATATTTGCTGAAGGAAGAAATCATTCATGCGCACTCACCTGCTTCATATCCTTGGGGCCTCCCCATGGGCTGAAGGACCCCTTCCATTCCCCGGGAGCATGCAGGCCCCTCACAGACTAATTCTGGCAGAGTCTCCAGTCCCGTCCTGCCACCACACTGTCCTGTTCTCAGCTGAGATTCAGGCAGGCGTCCACAGAGGCGTGAGCAGCTCTCACAGCCATCCAACCTCAGCATAAGCACTCACAGGGGTGCCGGGCCTTCCCTCCCTGATGTTTAGACACACTAACTGCTTTATTCCAAATTCACCTGCACTTTCCTCTCACCAGCTGCAGAGGAGGCTCCCAGGGCAGCAAGCCTGTGACTGGCGGTTCCTGGGAGCTGTGGCGGCCTCCAGCCTAGGGGATACGGAGGACCTGCTGGTGCCTCATCCCACTGTGTCCATCCTGTGCTCTGACAAGGCTGGCTTTGTTCCCACAGAGCAGCCTGTACAGCGAGGAGGGCCTGGGTGTGACAGCCCTCAGCACCCTCTACGGAGGCATGCTCCTGTCCTCCATGTTCCTCCCACCGCTCCTCATTGAGAGGCTGGGCTGCAAGGGGACCATCATCCTCTCCATGTGTGGCTACGTGGCCTTCTCCGTGGGCAACTTCTTCGCCAGCTGGTACGCAGCCCCCACCCCCTGCCCACCCCACCCCCACCGTTCCCCACGCTAGGGACGTTCACTCTGCACATGACTTGCATTTGCACCTCATTACTGTTCACTGCAGGCATTTTAAAATGAGCTCTGCTGCCCCTGCACCCCTGCCTCGCTTTGGTGACAGACGGTGCTGGGCTTCCTTGCTGTCTTCTCACCAGGGCTCCTCTGTGCCCCCCACTGCTTCCATCTCCTCCTCCCAATCCCTGATGCTGGCCTCTCCCTGGGATCTGTTCTGATCCTTAGCTCCCCTGGCTGGGCGAGGGTTCCAGTAACACAGGGGACTCTAACTCCAATGCAGAGGGTGAGTCTCGTGGGCATCTAGGCAGATGTCACCAATGGACCAAAAGCTGCACCTCGCCCACCATTAGGAGGTGGGTATGGCCAGGGCAGGTCGCAGGGATGGGAGGCCACCCTGCTCCCTGGTGAGATGGACCACAGAGACCGAGCTCTGAGGGCTTTGGACTGCACCCCAGGCCCCGGGAACACATCCATGGAACATCTTCCAGGGACGCTGGTTGTGACCCAGGACATGCTGCTGATGACGGCTGCATGTCCTTCTTCCCGGTAGCTGCAGAGTCTCACACAGTACCCTGCCACCAAGGCCCGAGCTGGTCACTTGGTCTTTTTAACCGAGATTGTCCCTCAGCCTTCTTTGTGCTCCTCATCTTGTCGTTTGTGGTCGCATCCAATACAAGGAGCCTCACTGGCCTTCAATTTCACTTTTGCAAATCAATCTGAGCTGGAAAATGCACTGATTTTTCTCATTTATCTGAGTCTATTGGTGAATCCATCCATCTGACCAGCAACACCCATTACCATGCTTGCAATGGACCAGGCGGTGTTTCCTTCTCCCAGAAAGACTAAAGAACCACAGGGACATGGGTGCGATGGGCTTGTGTCTCCTGTCACAGGCGGTGCTGTGGGTCTGCCTTTTACCCACAGGTACACTTTGATCCCCACCTCCATACTGCTAGGGCTCGGGGCCGCCCCGCTGTGGTCTGCGCAGAGCACATACCTCACGATCATGGGAAACACACATGCAAAGAAGGCGGGAAAGCACGGCAAAGACGTAGTGAACCAGTATTTCGGAATCTTCTTCCTCATATTCCAGTCATCCGGTGTGTGGGGCAACTTGATCTCATCGCTGGTATTTGGCCAGACTCCCAGCCAAGGTAAAAGGAAAAGGGGGCAAGCAGTTGTCTCCAAGTGGAGCAGTGGTTTCAGTGATGGCCGCTGGGGGAGGGGGTTCCTAATTTCAGTTGTACACCTGCCTTGATTCTGTAACTTGAGCAGGCAAGTCAGGCCCCACAGGTGAGATTCTCAACCTGCCTGTGCTTCAGAGTTGTCTGTTATCTGCTCTCTTCTGGACAGTCGGGTGGGACTGAAGAAGATCTATGTCTTCCATAGATGCATCCACAGGGGCAGGGCAGCCCTTGGGAGAGGGCGCCATGGGGAAACTAAGGGCCACACCAGTAGAATTTGGGTTCATGGAGTCACAACTGCACAACCATCCTTGTTAGACTAAGAATGGGGTTGCCTGATGTCTTTTCCTTGTGACTTGATACACTGACCAGATTTTCAAATGTTTCATGACAGGCCCCTCATCCCATGACGGACGTGGACATGGGATGGGCTGATGCCCTGGCTCCTCTGTCTCTACCCGACCTTGCCCTGGTATAAATATAAAGAGCATATCTCATTTGTGCCCATGCCCTTGGTGCCTATGTTGAGGCTTTAAGCACAGGGCATAGGACCTCTTTCATGCTTAGAGGAAACCTTTCCCAACGGGGTAAAAACCAATCCAGCCCTCCTGACTGGTATCACGACTATTTCTATCACTTCATCAAGGTTCTCCATCTTGCTATCCCATAAAAAATCTCACCCTCGGGAAACTCTGTAGCCAAAATGCCTCTCCCTTTTTGTCATGCGATTGCCATGTGTGCTAAGTGCATTTGAAGAAGGGAAGCTGTAAAGTTGATGCATAGCAATTTTTATTCATCATTGCTGTTGGTATCAGCAACAATGAAATGGAAACTGGGGGTAAAGCTCAGTCTGCATATCATGGCCAGTGAAGTGGAGGAACAGGCTTTTCTTTTGAAGACATTTCTGCAGGTGAGTTAGTTCTCCAAGTGAGCACAGGACACAGAATCTGGGGCTGGAGGGATTTGGAGGGTGTCGTGTGTTTCTCCACCTTCTTGTGCCTTCTCTTATCAGCTGTACATCTCACCCACCTAGAAGATTTTGTGAAGCTGTCTGTTACATAATTTGTGTTTCTAAAACAATAAAAATGCTGAATATTCTTTCTCCCACAACATCTTTCTCTTCTCCAGAGATTCTGACAGGAGTTCTGACTGAGAGTTGTTGCTAATTCAAATTCTATTCTTTTAAGAGATCACAGAACTAACATCAGTTTTCAAAAACAGAAAAGTTGTGAAATCACCTGTCCGAAGTCATGGAGTTGGTAACGGATAAATCTGAAAGAGAATCCAGCATTTGTGGCACCCAATCTCATGTACTTTTTCCTTTTTGACTAGTTTTGAAAACTTGACAAATTTTAATTGTGTCAGAAAAGTAGTATAACAAGTAAGCAGCACTTTTCCAAGTTTATTCTTCCCTGAATCTTTGTGGAACACTAATAAGATTTTCCACCTCCCAAAGTGTCTTAAATGGACTCTAGGGTCATGTGCCTACGGGTAAATCTATTTTGACACACTGGGTCTTTCCATGTGACCTGTAGTGATGCCTCCCTGCAGGTGTCCATCCTTTCCACTGTCACTTTCATTCCTCTCATCACATTTGCGGTCATCACATTTGCGGTCATCTCATGCCTCCCATCTGCTCTGACTTCACAGAGGCCCTCCCAGAAGAGCAGCTCATGTCCTGTGGGGCCAGTGACTGCCTGATGGCCACCGCAACCACCAACAGCACCCAGAGGCCCTCCCAGCAGCTGGTCTACACCCTGCTGGGCATCTACACCGGTATGTGCTCCACCAGCCCAGGGCAGGGTCCCCAGCAAAGCAGAGCCAAGCCTCCTTCCTGGGCTGACAAAGATCATCTCCCCCACTATAGAAGGAATCTCTCTTCTTCTGAAACATCCTTGCAAAATGTATTGGTCTGGATTACATGCAGGCAGTGTTCTTATGAATCAAATGCAGTACACCCGTGCTGTCTAACAGAGGATCCTGGGGTGATGAGATTGTTATTGTTATACATCTCCAGAGCCCAACACAGTAGCCATTAACCACTGTGGTTGTTTACATCTTAACTGATTAAAGTCTCAGTTCCTAAGTCTCCCAGCCACACTGCAAGTGCCCAGCAGTACAGGGGGCTGGTGGCTACTATAACAGACAACTTGGTGGCCAGCTAGGGCACTGGGATTGACTGTTTGTGTTTCAGCTGTGGCCAAGGGACCCTGAACATCCATAATTGCTACAAACCACCTTTTTTTTTCCTGAGAAATGTACTGAGTACCTTCTGTGGAAAGGCTAGAGGGGCAAGTGCTCCCAAGTACTGGTTGCACCTTAGCTGGAGACGTTGCAAGCTCATGGTGAAACGGCTGCCCAGAGGAAGTTAATTGTCATGACAAGGCTCATTCTTAGAAGTTCATTTTAATAGAGAATGTTATGTTAATAGTTTCATATGTGACTTTAGTGTTATAGTGAAAGGTTTATTACAACTTTGAAGGGAACACATTGAGAGAGTTTTAAAAACCATTTTGTAAAGAATTTAAATATATTCTTTTTTGGCCAGGCATGGTGGCTCACACCTGTAATCTCAGCACTTTTGGAGGCTGAGGCGGGCAGATCACTTGAGGTCAGGAGTTCGAGACCAGCCTGGCCAATATGGTGAAACCCCATTTGCACTAAAAACACAAAATTTAGCTGAGTGAGCATGGTGGCATGCACCTGTTATCCCAGCTACTCGGGAGGCTGAGGCAGGAGAATTGCTTGAACCCGGGAGGAGGAGGTTGCGGTGAACTGAGATCATGCTGCTGCACTCCAGCAAGACTCTGTCTCAAAAATAGATATATACACACACACACACACATATATGTATATACACACATACATATGTATTTATATATGTGTATATATATTCTTTGTCATTCTTGGATTTGGGGATTCATAAAGCCCTTGGAATGGGTCCTTCTTAAAGATCAAAGGTCTGGTACCTGTGAGCTCTGGGAACGCCAAGTCCCGCACTCTGCCAGGGTGATAGATGAGGAGGGCTCGTGCGCCCTGTAGAGCTTTTCCTTGTGCTGAGATGATGTGCGGCACCACCCCTCAGGTCCCCTCAGGCCACTTCCACATCAGAGGCTCTGAGTGAGCACTTGTAAAGCAATGGCTGGAAGTGGACACAGCATACAGAAGCCATGCTAGGCCTTCTTGGTCCAGACATTCAGATGACTAGAAGCTCGCTTTTAGTAAGCCTAGAGCCTAGTGAAGGAAACAGACACACACCCAACTAACCGAGACTCAGTCCGACGGTGTTCTGAGCACTGTTCCCAGCTGAACTGCAGCTGCATCTCCCTGGAGCACCAAGTTTCAGGAAAGCCTCCAAGGGTGGGTGGTCCCTACACCGAGTCTGGACAACGAGCAAGATTGGCCAGGCAGGGAAGTGATGCCAGAGGACCCTGGAGCCGAGAAGTCCAGGAGGAGCCCTCAGGGCTGGGGACAAGGTGGAGGGGCAGAGTTGGGGCACAGGACTAGCTGTGGCCCTCGATGTTGTGCCAAAGGGTCTGGACGAGGGCAGACTTGCCTCCTAGACAGACCCTGTGGCAGCGTGACTTAGAGGTGCAGAGGCACAGTGGGCAGAGACCCACTAAGGATGGAGTGCTGAGTCCAGAGGAGGGAGCAGGGAGCGGGAGGCAGAGGTGGAGGGGCTGAGAGAGAGGCCTGCAGGGTCCGTGTGGGTTGAACATGGTGCGGGGAAGAGCAAGACAGTCCTGGGGTTGAGAGGAAGATGAGCTCAGGCCGGGAACACCTGGCTTGAGGACACAGAGGGACTTTTGTGTAGTGTCCAATGGGCAGTCTGACGCTGTGCAGGGCTCAGGCCAGAGGCTGATGCAAGTGTGGACGTGGAGGCATCTTCTGAGGTGGTGACTGGAATCGTGACAGGCATGAGGTTCTTAGGGAGAAAAAGCAGAGAAAATTGTTACAGAGAAGGGAGTGCAGCTGGACCCCTGGTTCAGCAACACTGAGGGCCAGGCAGACAACTGGAGCCTTGGAAGGAGACAGAAAACCAAACCAGGGTCCTGGAGCACACCCAGGGTTGCAGAATCAGCTGGGGAGGGGGTTTGAGAGTGTTGAGTGTGGCAGAGCCCCCAGGAGGCTCAGGGAGGAGGCTGGACCAGGCTGTTAGCCAGTGAGAGGCTATTGACGTCCATCAGGAGAGCAACCTGGGGAGGGTGCTGGTGTGCAAGGCCCAGATTGAGGGTTTTAGAGGTGAGTGGAAGTTGTGGACAGGAAGTCAGGAGGAGCCACGGTTTGCTCCGGTCTGCAAGGCTCTGCTGACTTGGAATCGTGGTCATGTTTTCCCAGCAGGCCCCTACGTTCCCATCAACATGGTCCCGGGGACCAGCAGGCCTGTGCTTCCCCCACACTTCTGCTCACCACCTCTTCTACATAGCTGGGAGGCTGGGGGACTCGGGGACATTGCGCTGAGTCAAGACCCTCAGGTCTCCTTCCAGCTTCACCAGTTCCAGTCATGCAGCCACCAACAAAGACATCTCCTATCTATAAAGCAATAGAATTTTGGGGTAGGGGCTGGCGGCCTTCCTCTGTGAAGGGCTGACAGCAAATATTTCTACATGTAAAGATCTTTCTGAGGATCATATGGTCCTTGTTGCAGCTGCTCAACATTGTCTTTGTAGTGGGAAAAAGCCATAGACTACATGTAAGCAAATGAGCGTGCCTGTGTGCCAATAAAACTTTATTTTCAAAAGCAGGCCATGGGCAGGCTTTGGCCCACACACCATAGTTTGTTGGCCCCTGCTGTAGAGGAACAGCACAGGCTTCTCCGTGGCTTCCAGGCCCTTCATTGCCCTCTGTCCTCCGCAGGTGGCTGCTCCCTGCAGCACCTCCCCTGCAGGGGCACCCCCAGGGTGCTCTCTGGTCACAGCCCCAGCCATTTATGCATCACAGACAGTTCTCGGGTCATGGAATCCCACAGCCTAAGGGAGTCCAAGTCTAGAAGTTACGTATAGCAGAGATCACACACATATAAATGAAGAAGTGGTCTTACTATTGTGATCTTAACAGTCCTGCAGGACCCTATATGTGTCCTTTTCTATAAAGCAAGTCCATATCACCATAAAGAAAAACAAAGCAAGAAAGAAAAATGGACCTAAAAGAACAAGAACACCCTCTCCCTGGGTAACTTTCCCAGGTTTCTGAGCATTCCACTCACAGTCAAATTTCTTGCAAAGAGCCGTTCTCTTTAGAATGTAGGACACAGCTGTGCAGTATCCCCCAATTCATGCCCCACAGAAGGCTCTGAGTCACATGACATCTGGACACACATAATTCTGAACAAAGGGGTGTGGCTTCTGTGTCCATGACCTGCCTCTCCTCCTCCCAAGAGGCTTTCGGGGAGATTGGAGGTCATGTCCTACTGGGCTGCTTGACACTGAAGTCCTGGCCCACAAGATGAAATCGTGGAGAAGGCTCTGCCTTCAGTGAGTGGAGGAAAAATGTGCCTTTTCCACATGGGCTACACACAGTCAGCTCAGGGGGTCGGGTTGGAAGGGGGCCCTGACAGTTGTAAATACCCTATGGCCTCCCGTGCAGGCGTGACAACCCGCCAGACCGCATGGTGGCCAGGACAACGCAGAGGAAAATGAAGGGTGACCCAGAAACAACCGTGGCAACAGGAGTCCTGCTTTCATACGGAATTTCACAAACTTCATGAGAATGTGGAATTATCATGAAATGGGAAGGGGAATATGTTTAGCCAAGATGGAAAGTAGGCAGATAACAGAAAGTAAAGCCTAGAAATAAATCTGTGCATTTCTGGGTGGAACCGGGTTAACAATGGTGCTTTCTGAGACAGGTGCTAGGATTCCGCTGTTTCTGCACACAGCTTGGAAGACAGCTGGCTTTGCAAAACCTCCCAGTTTCAGGAACGCTCAACTGCCGGGGCACAGTGCTGCAGCAAGCCCACTGCGTGGGTCACACGAGGACCCTGATGCTGAGAGAGACAGAAAGCTCTAGATAAGGTTGGTCAGACACAGTAAGATGAGATCATTCCCGTCGTCTTCAGAGGAGCCGGGGTCTAAGCTCTTGGAGGCAGAAATGAACTGATCTGAAAGATTCTGGCCCAGAGAGAAAGGAAGGATGGCCGCCAATCTTGAGCAATCTGTGATGCCCCAAATACTGTGTATCATGACCACTGCCAGGTGGGAAAGAAACAGTGGAGATGTAACGATATCACAGAAGGAACTTAAAATTATTAAGGAAACGAAAGGGCTTCTATGTAAAGTGAGAAACACCTAAATAAACATCAGTTCTCCATCGACAGAAATTAAGGTGGATCAAATAATAAAGTGGTGGACAGAAATGATGGAGATTTAGTCATCACATTTTGGAATTATGAGAAAGTACAGGATGTTTCCTCATGGATGAAACGAATAGTTAAAATATTTTTTGCATAGATAACCCATTTATATAGTTGAAAATGCAAATCCAGGAGTCTCGCTTGTCCCCATTTCATTTTGTGTGACTTCAGTGACCTGAGGCCAGCTGCAGTCCGAGAACCTTAAGTGGAAAATTCCAGAAATAAATAATTCATAAGGTTTAAGTTGCAGTTGTTCTGAGTAGCGTGATGAAATCTCTTGCTGTCCTGCCCACCAGCCCAGGCTGTAACCGTTCCCTCTGTCCAGCATGTCCGCACCATAGACACTCCCCAGGCTGTAGACTCTCAGTAGCTGCCTCTGTTGTCAGAGTGAAAATATGTGGTGCATGTAGTCTGACACCGCCCATGGTTTCAGGCATCCACTGGGGGCTTGGAATGAACCCCTTTGGGTGGGCAACCACTGCACTGTGAAAGGGCGTGCGGTGGGGAGTCTCCCTCTCACTGCCGCCCTCAGACCCAGTTCTGCACCCATAGAAAGTCCATGTCTGCTTTATTTACTAGACATATTTAATGCACATTTGAACAAGCACATCTATATGTCCTTTCTTACTTAATTCAAGTGGTAGCACACTCTACACAAAGTTCTGACTCTTGGTTGTTTTTTCTCTTCTTACCATTTATGATGGGGATTTTCCCATCCGTGTACAAAGAGCTTCTTTTTTATTTTCTTCAAATGCACAACATTCCATTGCAGTTGGGATACCCCTTAATATCTTTAACCAGTTCCTATTGGAGGACTTTTACACAAAATTGTTTATTTGAAATAAAAGCGTAGCACATGGTACCCTTGTGGGAATCATTATCCTAAAAATCACTAAAAAGCTGGCTGCTGTTAGAAATTGCTTTGGGCATTAGAATGAGAAGCAGAGTCAATGGTTAAGGACACTCAGATGTCTGAGGTCTCTCCGGAAGTTTTTGCATTTTATGCCAGTGAGGACAATACTGACCGATTGTGGCAGGCTTCATGTGAAAGCCGGTCAGTCATGAGCTAATCAGAGAATCAGCACAATCAAGTGCAACCAAACACCTGAGATCCTTAAGTGTGCCGTGTCTATTGTCACCTGAAATCTGGATCTGAGTTAGCCCTCTCTCTCGAGAGGAGGATGAGCGACTGAAAGAAATCCGTGCCAGGCACCCTGCCTCTGGGCCCCCGTGAAAGCTGAAGCCTTTGCCATTTCCTTTCAGGGAGTGGTGTCCTGGCTGTCCTGATGATAGCTGCATTCCTCAAACCCATACGAGATGTTCAACGGGAAAGTGAAGGAGAGAAGAAATCACCACCTTTCTGGTCCACTTTACTGTCGACTTTCAAGCTATATAGGGATAAACGTCTGTGCCTCTTAATTCTACTGCCTCTGTATAGCGGATTGCAGCAAGGATTCCTCTCCAGCGAGTACACAAGGGTATGAATGAAAGTGAGGGCCGGTGGCTCAGGCCATGCGTGGCATGACTGCTTCACCTGTGTCTGTACCTGCAGGACTGCAGTGTGTCAGGCCACCTGCCCAGGGCTGGGGCTGGGGGGAATAGGGTCCTGTGCTCCCAGTGCTACCATAGCTGAGTTTCTGATTCAAGGTCTCGACCTCCAAGTAACTTTCAACTCACTTCTTGTCTCAAGGGAGAACTTCTTGCTTGAACCGTGTCTTCCTGGGGAAGGAGCCAGAGCAAGTGGATGGGCAGCTGCCGCTGACTCACCCCGCAGACACTCATTCGTGTTATCCCTGCCTGGGCCTCACCCTGCACCCTTTAGAGTTTACGTATAGGAAAACATTAGGTCCATGAATATCACCGAAATTCCTTATCCCTTTAGTTTTCTTTTTTTTTTTTCTTTCTTTCCTTTTTCTTTTTTTGAGATGGAGTAATGCTCTTGTTGCCCAGGCTAGAGTGCACTAGTGCCATCTTGGCTCACTGCAACCTCTGCCTCCCAGGTTCAAGTGATTCTCCCGCCTCAGCCTCCTAAGTAGCTGGGATTACAGGCATATGCCACCACGCCCGGGTAATTTGTATTTTTAGTAGAGACAGGATTTCTCCATGTCGGTCAGGCTGGTCTCGAACTCCCAACCTCAGGTGATCCGCCTGCCTCAGCCTCCCAAAGTGCTGGGATTACAGGTGTGAGCCACTGCGCCTGTCACCTCTAGTTTTCAAATCATGCTTCACAATCTAAAAATTGATGTGGCTCTCCAGGCTTCTGCTCCATCCACTCAGGCCACCTTCTCCCCTCAAGGTGAGAGAGGCGGTGCCCCACCTCAGGGCGCGTAAAGAAAGAAGCCTCTTTTGGGAGCTGTTGAGAGCTGGTGGCCAGAGGTGGACCAGCGTGGGCCTGTGTCTGGCAGAGGCTCTCTTTCCAGAGGAGCCCTCCCTGCTCTGTCCCCACCCCAGATCCCTCCCAGGCAAGGCTGACAACTTAGGATAAAAAGCACCTCTGCAGGCAGAATGTGAATTTCAGATAAACCACAAATGTCTCTCCGGGAGTATGCCCAGGCAATAGTGGGTGTCCTCAATTTTATCTGACAATGCTACTTTCAGGACAGCCTTGATGGAGAATCTTAGGGGCTTGAAAGAGTAGAAACAGGATAACAGAAAGGTCCACTTGGCATTTTGGGGACAGCCCCTCCTGCTTCTCCACTGGACTTGTCCTTGTCACCCCCGATGTGGCGGTGGCTGGTCTTCTCGTCTCAGCCTCTGTTTGCTGTGTGCCCGCCCTCGAGGCCGCCCGTGATGGGAGTGTGATGTGGTGGGTGTGAGAGCACGTGTGCAGCCGGCTGCTGGGCTGCTGAGGCCCCGGAAGAGGTGGCAGGGTGACCTCGTCAGTTTCTCTCTCTCTCTTTTTTTTTTTTTTAAACTCTCTTTAGACCTCACAGGCAATGATTGGCCCCAGCAAGGGCAGGGTGTATTGGCTTCCATATAAAATAATGCACATTTCACAGAAAATAGCAAGAAATATATGAGAAAAAATTTTGTCCAGAGTTGTCCAAACTGCCTCCTTTTAGTTCTTTCCCAAAGAGGATTTTCGTACCAACACCAGCTTTTCTCCTGCATGGGAGCCACAGAGCCTAGAGGAAGGTGTCCGCCACACTGGCCTGCCGGCCGTCTCAGAGCAGATGTTCAAAGCACCCGACTGCAGCTTCAGCTTGAGTGCGGGAGGCCTGGGAGCGTCCGTGACGTGGCTCTGCATCCCTCTCCCCAGTCCTACGTCACCTGCGCCCTGGGCATCCAGTTCGTTGGCTACGTGATGATCTGCTTCTCGGCCACCAACGCGCTGTGCTCCGTGTTGTATGGAAAGGTCTCGCAGTACACGGGCAGGGTTGTGCTCTACGTGCTGGGTAGGTAGCAGCGTGCGTCCAATCCCAGCCATCATAACGGTTTGCAGTAGCGAAAGCGTGCAGCTCACAGTCAGGACGGGGCTGGAAAAGTGCCCCTGAAACTGCTTTGAAATCAGTGACGCCCTGTAAGATGCATTCATTCTTTCAGTCCTTCCTTCACCCCCTCAACAAGCAGGAATCAGATCTCTCTCCAAGCTGGCACTGGGCAGGCACTGTGCTCTGCGTAAGGCCATACAGCAAGTGCCTGCTCCGAATGGGCACTCAGTGTGGTGACCAGGCTAGGGTGGGGCGGGGCGGGGTCTCTGCAGGTGCAAATGAGGGACACGAAGCCAGTGGTGAGGCCATGGGTGTCACAGAAGGTCACACTGGGGTTGGGGTGGCTCTGTTCCACATCTGTTCACACAGTGGATAAGGACAAGACTTCTAAGGCCACAGACGCCTCCCTAAACACACAGCGCCTTCCATTTTCCTTGGGAAGTGAAGGAAAGGGATGAGTCAGAGATCACATGAACAGTGGGGAATGCGGGCACTAAGAAAAACGGCGCCTGGCATGTCAATGCCCCAGGCAGGGCTGGGTGTGGGGGCGCAGGCAGAGGAAGGGCACACGGCGAGCATCCGCCAGGGCCATGGAGCCCAAAGGCACTGCCTGGGGTTTCCTATCCATCTTCACAGCCGCCCTGTGAAGCAGACAGTGTCCCCTTACAGAGAGGAAATCATGGAGCGGAGAAGTGGAGGGACTTGCCCAAGGTGGTGCAGGCACGCGGTGCGGACCTGCCTTTCTGTTGCCAGAGACCCTGCTCTTCCTCTGTGGCGTCTTGAGTGTCACTGGGCAGCCTCGTTACTGCATCCTGGAGACGCCACAGCCTGTGGAAACTGGGGTCCCAAATCTGTGACCTGCTGGGACGAGTCACGAGGACAGGCCCACAGATGCCACCTGTCTGGGAGGTCTGTGGCCTCCTCCCTTTTTTCCCCATGGCCCCCACTTGGAAGGCTCAGATGAAACCATGGGCACACTTTGTCCTATCCCCTGGCCACTCAGAAAGGGGCTGGGATCCTTCGACTTATACCTAATGAGGAGGCCGCCCTTCTCTTTCTGACTTGAAGCCCTCTTAGCTTAGGGGCAACCTCAGGCCCAGACAGGGTGACCTTCCTTCCCAACGTGATGCCAGACCACACCCAAGGCCCTCCAGGCTGATGCTGCAGGTCACACAGCAGGTATGTGGTGCAGACCATTGACTTAGAGCTGGCAGCACGCATACACACCAGCTCACAAATTAAATGTCAAGGTTCCAACTAAAAAGATGACTTCCAGAGCATTAAGGGAACACTGAGCATGAAGCAAACATTGAGACGGTTCCAGAGGATGGTTGAGAAGGTTGAGATGGTTGAGACGATTGAGATGGTTGAGACGGGTCCAGAGGATGGTTGAGAAGGTTGAGATGGTTGAGACGATTGAGATGGTTGAGACGGTTCCAGTGGACAGTTCCAGGGGACGGTTCCAGAGGACGGTTGAGACAGTTGCTCTAGTGCTGACCCACCTATGGGCCCCTCCAGGCCATGATGATGACCCTCAATGCCTGGCGGTTTCCTCTCTGCACCCCCAGGCGCGGTGACCCATCTGTCCTGTATGATCGCCCTCCTGCTGTGGAGACCTGGTGCTGACCAGCTGGCGGTGTTCTTCGTATTCTCAGGCCTGTGGGGCATGGCAGATGCTGTCTGGCAGACACAGAACAACGGTGAGTCCCCAGCCCAGGCCCCCTCCTGGCAGCAGGGGGGCAGTCCCTGGCCAAGGCAACTGTGGGGGCTCATTAGCTGCCAATGGGCCAGAACCAGGAGAGGTGAGTTGGGAGAGATGGGAGGGCCAAGAGGGCTGTGATGTCGCCTCTGGGTCTGATGTATTTTCTCTGAGCATTTATTCAGATTCATGATGCAAAAGTGGAAAACCACCCGGGGTTCCTTCTGGGCACCATTCCCTTGGGATGATATGGTTTTGCTTAAGTCAGGTCGCCCATCCGAGCCTGGGTGCGAGACTGTCTACCCCTAGGACAGCAGTCTCTTCATGACTGAAAACCTTCATTCAGACGTGCTTGTGATCAGAGGCACCCTCTCCGCGTCCCTGGGCCTGGGGTGTAAACACGCAGGGCCATCCAAGGAGCCCTGGGCGATGGGAGGTGGGAGTGTGAACCAAGGTGCCCATGGAAGATGGGAGGTGGCGGTGTGAACCACAAGCCACACATGTCACAGGTCACTAGGGTCAGTGTCTGTGGAGGAGGCTTTGGGGCTTCCTGGGCAGTGGCGGGTTTTCTGTGAGCAGGTGGGGACCCTGTGTATATCGGGGAGCAGGGGAGGCCAGGGTGGGCTTCGTCCTAGAGACCACATCTGCATCACGTCTAGGCTGACTGCTGTCCAGATGGGGTGAGGTGCAGGAGGAACCAGGGCAGGAGGCGGCGGGGGACTCCAAGGCCTTGCTGGGGCTGGGGTCCCCGAGAAGGCGGCCTAGGGGGAGTGCAGAGGGGTGGGGTGGAGTGGCCATTCGGGTCCCCATGTGTGGGGCCAGCATGCGGGGGAGGGTCAGATGCGCCTGGGTCACTGGAAGCAGCAGAAAGCGCTGACACCCAAGAGTGACTGGGAGCTATGTGGAGTCTGTACCGTGTCACAACAATCAATTCCAAAAGGCAGGTGACAAGGTCCAAGGTGCGGTCCTAGGGGGAGCCGGGAAGGCCGGTTGTCAGATGGAAGGTGATATCCCGTGATGATGGCAGGAGCCAAATGCCAAAGTCCTCACAGAATAGGGTGGCCTGGCCAGGAGGTCAGGCAGAACAGTGAGGACACGGGTGGGAGAGGAGCAGGAGCCAAGGAGGAGCCAGGGAGGAAGGGGCCCCAGGCTCAGGCAGCGGCACCAGAGAGGTTCCAGAGAGGCCTGAGGGCAGGCGAACTGGGAGGGGATGCCGCAGTTGCACCTGTTATTCCAGCTACTCAGGAGGCTGAGGCAGGAGAATCCCTTGAACTCCAGAGCAGAGGTTGCAGTGAGCCAAGATAGTACCACTGCACTCGTGCCAGGCTCTGCTGAGCTCCGAGGTGCTTTGTGCTGGCTGGTCGTGTTTTCCACAAGGAGACGTGTGAGAGGGTTTTGGAGGAAGGTCACTAGGAAGAGAAGGAAGCTGGGTCAGTGTGTGTGGCCACTGGTTGGAGGGTGTGCGTTCTGGGTGGTGTTGAAAATAACACAGATGAGGGCTTGGGGTAGGAACCCTGAGTTTCCCCAAAACCCCATCTAAGGCCCCGAGGGGTGTCAGAGGCCCAAAGAGGCAAGACTGCGTGTCTAAGAGATGCTGATGAGGCAAGATGAAGGGTCCTCTTGGAGGTGAGCATGGCTCACATGAGACCCTCTTCCCTCCAGGAGAGACATCACCATTCTGCCTTTATCTGGCAAACACTCGGGGCTTAGAAATTGGAAAAAGCAAACCCACGAGGGAAGTACAGGCCAATGTTTCTGAGATGACGGACCTGGCTGCTGTCCCTGCACTGAGGATAAAGAGCACATGTGACCTCAGATCAGGGACCGAACACTCCAGCCATGTCCTTTCTGTCTTCCGGGTGGGTTGCCATCCACAGGACAGCTGAGAATCATCTTTGAACAAATCCGCACTGTTGGATTTAAGGAGTCGTGTTTCACAGTCCTTTCTGCTGCCCCAGGAATGCAGGTGGACGTAGTGAAGCTCTTCACCAAAATGAGTGTGTGCTTGGCCCAGCGCCATGCTCTGGCTTGTCGGGATCAAGGCCGGGAGCCTAAAAGGGGTAGACTGGACCCGAGGCCAGGCCAGGGCATTGCTTAACAGAACAAATACTGATTTAGTGGAGGGGAGTAAACAGCAACTCACTTTGGTATTTTCGGCAGTGCAGAATTATAAGCTAGCGGCGTGTCATGTCGCCTGCAGGGCTCCTAGCTACGTTACCAAGAAGCATCACACAGCATTTGTTTAAACCGTCCCCTGGACGTATGGCAGAGCCGGTGTTTTATGGAGCTCCCCAAATGCACATCCCATTACCAGAAGTGCACAGTGACTTATCTGAACTTACTTGATTTAAAAATGTATTTACACATTAAATTAAAAGAAAAACACTGGGACAAATATCCCCACAATATTTCATAAGATAATTCTCTAAATGCTCCCAATGAATGTGATCATTCATATCTGGTTTTTGTTCTTCCTGAGCTATGTGAATAGTGGACTTAACTCTCCTTTTCCTTACATGGACACACGGTACTCTCAGGGAAGGTCTTGTTGAACTGTGCAAACAAAGTTACCCAAGGACAAAGAGTATGAATGTCCAAGTCCAGTGAATGACTGGAATAAAGACTCCTTTTAATAAGGGATGCTAACTTAAATTGAAATTATTTATGTCTTTCTGTACAGGAAAAAGTAATTTTTTTCAAAAATAAACCAAATTGGCCGGGTGCGGTGGCTCACTCCTGTAATCCCACCACTTTGGGAGGCTGAGCCAGGCAGATCACTTGAGCTCAGGAGTTCGAGACCAGCCTGGTCAACATGGTAAAACCTCATCTCTACTAAAAATACAAAAATTAGCCCAGCGTGGTGGCACATGCCTGTAGTCTCAGCTACTAGGGAGGCTGAAGCTGGAGAATCACTTGAACCCAGGAGGCAGAGGTTGCAGTGAACTGAGATCACATCATTGCACTGCAGCCTGGGTGACAGAGCAAGACTCTGTCTCACAAAAAAAAAATGTTGGGGAAAATATTTTCACATACTTGAGAAGCTCCTGTGGACTTTACTCTAGCAATCGTCATGCGCGAGTGGCATTTTAGTACCGTGTTCGTGCACTCCTGGCAGGCTGGCTCTCCATGCAGAACAGCACACACACAAGGTCTCTGTTCTCTATTTTTTGAAAAAAATGGAAATTTTATGTAGCTTTGGCTACATCTCAAAAACAGCTCTTTCTCATTTTTGTTTTTCTAAATAGCAAGTTAGATTTCTAATCCTATTCTCCCCAAATGTGTGCTTTCTTTTAAGAACATATGTGGGCCACATGTGTTCCTAATTAATGACACTGAATAAAACCCAATGAACTTTGTCCTCACTTTTTAGTCATCACTGCTCAGTTTAAAGACAGGTCCTTACAGTCTCCTACTTAGAAGCAGGTCAGAGGACTTCACCATTCGAGCCCCTCCTTCCTGGGCCAGAATTGAGGATCCCCAGCTCACTGTCCCACTGGGCTCCAGCGATCCCCCGGCCTCTGCAAGGGGAGATCTGTGCCAGGCACTCCTCTCTGCTTATTCCCTCTGACAGCAAATGAAAGATGGGTGTGGTTGCCAGGGCAACGCTTCCTCACCAATGCACTGCCATGAAGATATGGAATGTCTAGTCTAAAAATACTCTTTTGCTCTGTTGGCTGTTTTCAGGCCGATAAACTCAGAAAATCTGACTTCTCTTCAATGTCCCACTCACTTAAAGATCTTCTTTGACCAAACAACATTGCTAGACTTCTCATCCCCATCCCAGTGTTTGAGGACAGGAGCCACATCCTGGTCTCTTTAACCCTGGGCCATCTGGGAAGAGGAGGCTGACAGGCCAGGCTGAGAGCAATGCTTTGTCTTTTTAAATACACTTGTTATTTTGAAATAGTTTTAGATTTACAGAAAAGTTGCAAATGTAGAGAGTCCCCTTGAAAGGTACCAACCTAGAGACTCAACTCATTTACCCCATAGGCCCTGTGCCAGCTTCCCCAAATGCTGAGCATCTCACACAGCCACGGCGCATTCATACAGCTAGGAAGTAACGCTGCCATGTGACAGTTAGTGGAGGGACAGCCTTTATTCGGGTTCCTCCAGGTTTCTCACGAGCGTTCTTTTTTCTGTGCCAGGATCCTGTCCTGGACTCCCTGTTGGACTCAGTCATCGTATCTTCTGGCTGCTCTGTGGCAGCTTTTCATTTTCCTTGTTTTTCATGACCTGGACCCTTTTGAAGAGCACTGTAGTTTGTAGGCTGTCCCTTAACTTTGGTTTGTTTGCTGTTTTCTCATGATTAGGCTGGAGCTGAGGGTTTCGGGAGGACAATCCCCTGGTGAGGCGCTTCCCTGTCCCATCATATGGGGGATACAGAAGAGGGACAGGCCTCCTCACCAGCAATGTTAACCTTGATCCCGTGGGTACCGTGGTGCCAGCCACATCTCTCCACTGCAAACTCTCCACCTTCCCTTTCCACATGCGGTTCTGCAGGAGCGAGTGCCCAGGGAGCCAGCAGTCAAGGAGAGAGCAGCTAATCTCCACCCTGAGGAACGTCTATGTGTACACTGTAATTCTTCCACAAAAAATACCTGTCCCTTCTCCCCGATGTATTTGCTTACTCAATCATTGAACTGCATCAGCATGGGCTCGTATATTTACTTTGCACTTTGGGTCACCATCCAACGCCACATTATTTCTTTATTAAGGTGGACAGTAGGCCGCGGGGCTTATTCTGGCCCCCACTGCGTAGCTGTCACTCCTTTCTCTGGCAGCCAGAAGGCTGGTTCCCACCAGGTATGACCCTTCCTTATGTGTTCAATCTTGTACACGCGTACAGTTATTTCAGGATTGTTGAAATACCGTTTTCAGTCTACTTTCCTTTCTAAAAAGTGTCTTTCCCCACTATGTCCTTAGCTGTGGGTAGTTCCATGCAATTCGAAACAATAAATGCATTGCTTTCTTTATGTTTAGATTAAAATAGGAACCACATCTTGAGTAATTCCCTGAAAAGCCTGACTTTAATTATCTCTGGTGTTGGCCTCTCCTCTCCTAGACTGGTCTAATGTCATTCACACATGTGGCTTCCCCTTCCCCGAGTGGGGCAGACGGTTTCCCCTGATTCTTCCTCTGTGTTTCTTAAAGGCAGTTCCGGCGGCATCATCTGGGTCCTTGGCATCTCCCTCTGTAGGCGTGGACCCTGCTTCTGTGGGTAGAGCTGTGTTAGGAGACAGGTGGGAGTGATGGTGTCACCTCTGTCTGGGGCCACTCCCGTCTTATTCGGCCTCCTCAGTTCTGTTTTGTGGCCAGGGGACAACCCACTTTCCAGCCACCTTCTGGGTCCCAGATCCTCCATGCTGGGGGCTCCTCCTGTCTCCCAAACACATCTAGGCGATTTTGAACACAAGTATGTGAGCCAGCAGACGTCTAGCTCTTTCTCTCTTTGTTGTGGATCTCCTCTCTACATTCATATTTTGGAACCAGAGTCAGCGAATGTCAAGTTCTTCATGTGACATGTGAGGCATTGAGGGCCCGGAAAGTTTATGTTTATGGAAAACTCAGAGGGCTGAGGAGACCACGGCTGCTTATGAAGAAGCTGAATTGGCCTTGAACCAACCAGAACTTGATGAAGGGAGACGGTGGGGGAGCGGGGTGAGGCCCTTTACTTGGAGGACAGTGATTTCTAATCATGGCAGCACAATATAAATTTCTTTTTTTTTTTTTTTCGAGACGGAGTCTCGCTCTGTCACCCAGGCTGGAGTGCAGTGGCGCGATCTCAGCTCACTGCAAGCTCCGCCTCCCGGGTTCACACCATTCTCCTGCCTCAGCCTCCCGAGTAGCTGGGGCTACAGGCGCCCGCCACCTCGCCCGGCTAGTTTTTTGTATTTTTTTTAGGAGAGACGGGGTTTCACCGTGTTAGCCAGGATGGTCTCGATCTCCTGACCTCGTGATCTGCCCGTCTCGGCCTCCCAAAGTGCTGGGATTACAGGCTTGAGCCACCGCGCCCGGCCTATAAATTTCATCTTGAAATTCTTGAATGACATCAACCCATATTCCCAAAAAGCTTAAAATTAGAGTTGCCTGTGTTACTAGAATATTTATAATCTGGGTCCATTGGCTTTGGTTTTGCGACCTGCCCAGGGTGCAGCCGGGAGCTTTTAGCCACAGAACATAGCATGATCTACCACTTATAGCCATGGTGTCTCAACTTGGATTTTCTTCCCTAGAACCTTGGTTTTGGATCCAGTGCTAAGAGTCACCCTCAAAAAACAGGCAAGAGGTGTTTAGAATAGTCTCAGAAGCCAACTAAATCTAAACTTGGTTATTCAATTCTCTTCGGTCATTACTTTTATTAAGGTGGACAGCGTGCAGACTGTGGGACAAGAAGGGCACCTTGTCCTGAGGGTTCCAAAGAACTTCTTGTTTCCCGAACATTCCTAAGCTGTTTACAATGTGAATCTTAGGGCAAGGGCTGTAGACAAGGTACTACCCTGCTGTAAGCGCATCTGCATTGGTCTTCAGCAGTAGAGGAACATTCACGATGTGAGTTGTTTTGTATAAAACCAGCTGACAAACCCTGGGGCGAGCTGCTTTTCATCACTTTCTTTAAATCCAGAGGAAAAAAAAGCACCCCTTTGGATGGGAGTGGAAGGTCCCTGGGGTCAAGTTCACGGACATCTGTCACGTTGCTGTGGAAATGAGCAGGCCGGCCGCAGGAAGGACAGCGCCTGTGTTCCTGGGTGTTTATCTGGACACTTTCCTTCTTGGAGGGAATCCCTCTCTCAGTGACATCATCTGTTGCCTGGGAGGAACAGGGCCTCGTCCCTCCCAGGCCATCCCAGGGTGGCTGCTGGGGACGGTGGCTTCAAAGACTGTGTTTCACAGCCCTTGTCATTGCCCTCCCAGGAGCCACACAGCCAGGCAGGCGCCCTCCCAAACACAGTGGTGCTGGGCCTCCCCGAACACGGTATCATCTCCAGCACTAAGGAGGGGTGGGTAGAGCGAATCTTCGGGAAGACGGTTCTCTCAGCACTCAGTGTGTATCTTGCACTGAACCAGGTCCTATGGAGTTTACAAAATTAAACACCATCCTCCCTGCCTCAAGGACCCCAGTGCTGGCAGTCTGGAATCCTCCTGGGGAACCACATGCTTCTGCCCCTGGTTTCAGGCCCTGCTGCCTGCAGTTAAGGTCACAGCACACCCTGCCCCACCAGAGCTCAGGCTGCCTCTGTCCCTGCACCTGTCCCTGCCCCTCACCTGCCCACTTGGCTTCAGCCTGTGGAGGGTTTTCCTGGGTCTTCTGGGCGGAGCCCCAAAGGGGCCGCTGTGTTTAAATCACAAGCAGGAAAATCCTGGGGCTCAAAAATCACTAAGCTAAAGGGAAAAGTCAAGCTGGGATCTGCTTGGGGCCAACCTGCCTGCCATTCTATTCGAAGTCATCCCTCTGCTCACTGATCTGAATGTCTCCTTTGGAGAGGCTCATCAGAAACTCAGACGAATGCGACCATTTGTCTCATCTACCCATGACTGGGAAGCCCCCTCCCTGCTTCCAGTCTTCCCACCTTTGCTTGGAGTTGTCTTGCCTTTCTGGACCAAACCAATGCTTGTCTTCACCAAACCAATGCTCATCTTATCCATGTTGATTGATGTCTCATGTCTCCCTAGAATGTATAAAACCCACCTGTGTCCCAACCACCTTGGGCACATCTCGTCAGGACCTCCTGAGGCTGTGTCACGAGCACCCATCCTCAACCTGGGCAAAATAAACATTCTAAATTAACTGAGACCTGCTTCAGATTTCCGGGGTTCATGCTATCATCTGCCATGTAAAATCATTCTGTTGTGAGAAAAGAAAAATGTCCTGATTTTGTGGAGAAAATGGGGCAGTGGGAAAGCCGTTGTGCTCTTTTCATGAACAGGGTCACCGTGGGGCCCAGGGCAGAGCTCTCACTCCGCTCTCTCCTCCGCAGCTCTCTACGGCGTTCTGTTTGAGAAGAGCAAGGAAGCTGCCTTTGCCAATTACCGCCTGTGGGAGGCCCTGGGATACGTCGTTGCCTTTGGGTACAGCACATTTTTGTGTGTGCGAGTCAAGCTCTACATTCTGCTGGGGGTCCTGAGCCTGACCATGGTGGCGTATGGGCTTGTGGAGTGTGTGGAATCCAAGAACCCAATCAGACCCCCCACTCCAGGACAGGCGAACCAGGCAGAAGACGCAGAAATACAAACAAAAATGTGAGAGCAGCGAGGTCCGAGGAGGATGAACTCAGAAAGCACCAGCCAGAAAGTTTTCTTAGAAGATGCCTCAGGACATGGAGCGGCGCCTCATCACCATCTCAGTACAATTTGGCCATTGTGAAGATATCATATTATTTCACTCTTTATGTATTTTTTTCTATTCTAACAATTTTTTAGTCCACCATCTTATCAACAGAGATGAAGTGTATACGTGAAGGTATCAGTTAATTTAATTTTAGATACACAAGAAAAAAGTACAATCAGCCAATTAATTAGAATTTGCCTGAAATCATAGACTCACCCTAGTTTTATTGCTGTAGTTGTTTTTCAGAATTGAAAGACGGCTTAAAACAATGTAGACTAACCCCACAATTTTACAAATGGGCAAACTTTCTTTTTTTTTTCTTTTTCGAGACAGAGTCTCGCTCTGTCGCCCAGGCTGCAGTGCAGTGGTGCGATCTCGGCTCACTGCAAGCTCCGCCTCCTGGGTTCACGCCATTCTCCTGCCTCAGCCTCCCGAGAGCAACCAGTCCCGCCGGCCGGCCTAGGACCTCCCCAAGCTGTGCTGCCTGGAGCTTCATATTCTCTTTTGTCCTTTAACCCTAAGCCTGCTTCCCTCGC